AGAACTGATGATTTTAATGAACTGCATTCTCAATGAAACAATGATGTGATAGAACATTTAAAAAGCCACTTTTGGTGTGCCTGGGTGGCTCAGTTGGTTAAGCGTCTCCCTTCGGGTCAGGTCCTGGGATCGAGTCCCGCGTCAGGCTCCCTGCTCAGCAGGGGGGGTCTGCTTCTCCCTCCCCCTCTGCTCCTCCCCCTGCTTGTGCTCTCTCTTGCTCTCTCTGTCAAATAAATTAAATAAAATATTTTTTAAAAAATAGTCACTCTTAAAATAGAAAATCTAAAAATGATAGGTCATACCTAAAGAGTATTGATAAGTTATGTGGGGAAGGGACTTGTATTGTGTAATGATTGCTTTAAAAAGCTGTAGGCATTTAGCCAGGAAAAGAAAAAACTGAGCACATAACTAACTACTTTCAGTTCATCATGTGGAAAATGGCTTGTAGAACCCAAGAGAAGGACTGGGACAGTGAATGGAAGCTGCAGGGAGACATTTCAGCTCAGATTGTGAAAGAATTTTCCAGAAAAGCTGTCTGAAAACCATGTGGCCTGTGTTTGAGTTCCCCCTGACTGGACATGTTCAGGCCGTCGATGATGGACAACATACCGTGCTATTTCATTCATATAACATCCTTGAAATGACAAAATCACAGCAATGGAGAACAGATAAGTGGTCGTCAGGGGTTAAGCAGGGGGAGGAAAGTGGGGGAGACTCGGAAAGGACTACATGAGGGATCCTTGAGGAGATGCTTGAGGTGATGGAAATGTCCTGCACGTGAGCTCTGTGGACATCTGTGTCTGGGCGTTCGGTTGCAGTGCGTCCTGTGACCACCGGGGAGCCCTGGGGAAAGGGCGCACGGAGTTTTTCTTTCAACTGCAGGTGGCTCTGCAGTGACCTCCAGTACTAAGTTAAATTCGAAAAAACTGATTTTTGTGATCCCTGAAGTCTTAGTCTTAGCATATAGTCTTTGGGATACCTTTCTAGATTTGGTACGAGCCTTTTCTGATTTCCGTCTCAGTATGCATTTGCGCTTCCTATGTGAGAAGACTTTTATTTTAGAAAGAAGACTCTAACTTTCATCAGAGTAGTGGCAAAACTTCAAATACAGTGGTGAGCAAGTATCCCTTCCAGATGCCCCTGGCAAATCTTCAGATGGCTTAAAGACTAAGGAAATGACTCGTCTCTGGGATTTGTTTGTTTCATACCCATTTAAAACAAAGCATGGGATCGGAGAGAGGACTCTTCTGTCTTGGAAGAGAAGTGGACAATCTACCTTTGATTTATCTTTGATTTTACCATCAGTCATTTGTTTTGTGGTGGTAAAATATGCAGAACGTGAAATTTACCATAATTTTTAAGTGTGCGGTTCCATGAGGTCACACCCACATCATTGTGCAGCTGTTACCACCGTCCATCCCCATAATTCTTTTCATCTTGTACCATCAGTCTGTTCTCATAGGAACTCTGTCCCCATACCTACCTTCTAGTAATAAGCCATATGTCTAATCTGTGCTCCTGCAAAGGACATGGAAAACCTGAAAGGAGAAATTAGTACTGGTGGCTGTGAGCCTTTATCTTGCACTGCCCTGATTTGTATATGCCCTAAAAAGTGGAATCAGCAAATATTTCTCTCTTCTGCTTACATGTGGCCTGTCAATAAGATTTATTCTGCAAACGGGTATTTTAAAAGACAAGGAGAACATGGTTTAGTCCAGGTTGTTTGATTTGAGATCAAACTTTTAAGATTCCCCACCTAACCCCCTTGTTTTTGAAGTAAGTAACATTTTTAAAATATTTATTTATTTATTTGAGAGAGAGAGAGCATGCAAGCATGTTCATAAGCAGGAGGGGCAGAGGGACAGGAAGAGACTCTAAAGCAGACATGGGGCTCGATCTCACCACCATGAGATCACGACCTGAGCCAAAACTAAGAGTCAGACGCTCAGCCAACTGTGCCACCCAGGCGCTCCTAAAGTAACTTCTATTATTTGTGTGTGTGTAGCCTTTACCTTTAAAAAGCCACGGGGAAATATTGAAGGATTTTAAGCAAGACTTTAGTGGAAAGAATGGATGGAGAAGTTCATGGCTGGAAACTGGTAGACTAATTGTTGTAATATGGATACAAGATGATAGTGTCCTGGGATAGAGAGCTGATCACATTTTCCTGACCAGCATTTCCCATAATATCTAAAACATGGCCAGAATAATGGCCCCAATGACCACAGGCACACCTATGGGAAGAATTGACCTCAGGACCCTGTCATCTGCTTTTTTCTCTCCAGGACCCATCCCCCCTTCAAAGATACAGCCCACAGCTGTCTGTATTGGAATGCATTGGGAAGACTGGGGAAGCAGGGTTGGGCGGGCCAGACATTGTTGGAGTCACATCAGGTCATAAGTAGTTTTGGAGTAGAGAAAGTTGAGGTTGAGTGGAGGGCTCGGAGTTGGAGATGAGCTGATGTGGAGGGTTAGAATTGGTGTTGGCAGTTAGCTGTCGTGGATGGGGGAAGACAGTGCTGGGGCAGGGAGCTGAGGTGGTTTAAATAGGGGAGGATTGAGAAGAGCCGAGATGAAGAAAATTGAACTGGTTGGAGATGGGCATTGGGTGATGTTGGGCGCCAGGTGGTGGTCAGCGTCAGGTGGTATTGGGTACCAGGCGGTGGTGGATGTTGGGTGTTGTGTCATCAGTTGCCAAGACCACTCCCACCATCTGATGGCCTAGGAGGACTTGGAAGTCAGCGCATAGTCCTACTTACGGCTGTGATTTATTACAGGGAAAAGGGACGGTGGCAGGTCAGCAAAGGGAAAGGCACATCGGGCAGGGTGGAGGAAAGCAGGTACAAGCTTCAAGAGTCCTTTCCCACTAGGATCCCACAGGACGCAATGATGTCAGCAGCAAATTGTGACAACACGCGTGAAACGGTGCCGGCCAGTGAAACTCAGTTTCCAGGGAGTCTCAGTGCCTGGGGTTGGGCTCTGGTCATGTAGTCATCATTGGCCTGGCGGGTACTGAAATGCCCAACTCTGAGAAGGGAAAGCAAGTGTTCAGCCTAAGCCATGCTGTGTGTATAAATAGTTCAGGCCCAGTGACCCACTCTCCCCCGTTCTAGGGCTGTTGGGAACTCTCCAGAAGTCCAGGTGCCCAGACAGCTGCTCTGAGAGCCGCGGGCGAGCAGCGGGCGAGCAGGCCTTGCTGAGGACAGCAGTCCCCTGCCTGCCCTTCAGCTCTTCTCTGCACTCCTGGCTGGCGGCCGGTGGTGCTGGCGGGCTGAGTGGGACAGCAGTGGAGAAGGTGCAGGGCAGAGTTAAGGAGAGCAGATAGCGTGCAGGGAACACAGGGGACCCTTCCTCTGCCTGTGGGCTAATAGGACTTCATCCCCAGGCCTGGGCCTGCACTCACAGCCACCTCCTTACTCCACTGGCATCCAGGAGAATGAGAGAGTGTTTTGCAACAGTGCAGTTCCAAGGATTCAAAGACCAAGAGAATTTGGGTTAAAATGAAGTAACTTTAGTTTTTTCAAAGACTTTATGCTAATATATGTTGTCTTCAAGAAATAAATAGCTGCTCAGCATTTCTCAAATTTCTCAGCCATAGAGCAGTGGTGCATTTTATGCCCAGTTAGCCCTCCCCCCAACTCTTGCTGGGGACTGCTGCTGGTGGCCTGGGGTTCTCCCACACAGCACAGCAGCCCTGGAATGCCACAGGGGGGACGGGGCAGGTCGGGCTGGGTGACCGCTGCGTGTTCCGTGGAAGCACATGCCTTGAATGCCTGAATTAAGGAATGCATTGGCATCTTCATTGAGAAGTAGACTTGGAAACTAAATGGAGATGGAATTCAAACCACTTTGTCTTCTCTTGACTACTGTAAGCGCCCTGGGTCAGGGACCGTCCAGCTTTGTTCACCCACTTACTCACAGGGCCCGACCCAGCATGTGCCTCAGTAACAGCCGAATAAATGGCACACCTCTGTTGCTGCTGCCGGCCAAAGATTTGGGGTGGAAGAGAGGTGAAAATGATGAGCCAAAATGAAGCAATAATTACCTGGAGATTAGATTTAGGCATGTTATCACAACTGAATATTGAGAGTTGCATTTAAGTATTTTAAACATCTTTTAGCTCTCAAGAGATTAGGGTTGGGGTTTTTTTTAACTTTTTTTTTTTTAGATTTTATTTATTCATTTGAGACACAGAGACAGAGAGAGCACGAGCAGGGGGAGAGGCAGAGGGAGAGGGAGAAGCAGGCTCCCCGCTGAGCCAGGAGCCCGATGTGGGGCTCGATCCCAGGACCCTGAGATCATGACCTGAGCCAAAGGCAGACGCTTAACCATCGGAACCACCCAGGTGCCGCGAGATTAGGGGGTTTTTTATGAAATATTTTCAACGTACAAATGCATATGTATAACACACATAATATAAAATTAGTAAACTAAAACTCCTGTACCCATTACCCAGCATTAAAAATAGCTCATTCCCAGTCTCGCTGTGTGCCCTGCCCAGCCTTCCCCCTTCCCTCCTCCCTGAGAGGAAGCCCCATTCTCCACGTGCTATCCTTCTGCCTTTCTCCTTCAGTTTTATTACATGTATGTCTATCCCACCCCCAGACAGTGGCCCCCCGACAGTGCCCCCCCAACAGTGTCTCATCAGTGCCCCCATCTGTCCTCCCAACAGTGCCCCCCCAGACAGTGCCCCCCCAACAGTGTCTCATCAGTGCTCCCCAATCACGTCCCCATCTGTCCCCATCTGTCTCCCGGACAGTGCCCCCCCCCCGTGCTACATGGCCTCTGGCGTATTTCCTGTTGTCTTTCTCAGTTTTCCCAACACCGTGGCTCAATGGCGTCTCATCAGTTCCCTGACTTGTAATGAGGATGAAAATCTTTTCATGGGTTTACTAGCCATTTGTTTCCTGTTCTATGAAATGTCTTACTTGTGTTTTCTGCTCTTTTTTTGTTTTGTTTTTTGTTTCGGTCAATTTATAGGTGTTCTCTTTGTACTGTAGGTAGGAGTCCATTGTGCAAATCCGTTGCGTGGTTTCGGCTTGCCTCTTCACCTGGCTTGAGATCGAAGCACGATGCTGAAAAGGATGACAAGGCTTGTCTCCAGGGCCCGGCAGGTGAGTCCCAGCTGACGTCACAGCTTTGTGCAGACTGTCTTTAGGTAGAATTCTTGTTTCTAGATGATTCGCTGTATCCAGAATAGCATGCTCTGGAGAACCTCTGCTGTCGAGTGCTTTAATTTAATTTTACTTGAGAGGACACCACAACTCCATCCCTCTGCCCTAAAAGTCTGCGAGTGACAGCCCTCAGTACAATAATGGGGCTTGGGGATGTACCGTCATTGGAAAATTAACATTTAAAAAAGAAATAGCTAGGGACATCTGGGTGGCTCAGTTGGTTAAGTGACTACCTTCAACTCAGGTCATGATCCTGGAGTCACAGGATTGAGTCCCACATCAGGCTCCCTGTTCAGCAGGGAGTCTGCTTCTGCTCGTCCCTCTGACTCTCCCCCCTCCCAGGCTCTCTCTCTCTCTTTCTCTAAAATAAATAAATAAAGGGGTGCCTGGGGGCGCCTGGGTGGCTCAGTTGGTTAAGCGACTGCCTTTGGCTCAGGTCATGATCCTGGAGTCCCTGAATTGAGTCCCACATCAGGCTCCCTGCTCGGCAGGGAGTCTGCTTCTCCCTCTAACCCTCCCCCGTCTCATGTGCTCTCTCTCATTCTCTCTCTCTCAAATAAATAAATAAAATCTTTAAAAAAGGGGGGGGGGGCGCCTAGGTGGCTCAGTCATTAAGCGTCTGCCTTCAGCTCAGGTCATGATCTCAGAGTCCTGGGATCGAGCCCCACATCGGGCTCCCTGCTCCACAGGAAGCCAGCTTCTCCCTCTCCCACTGCCCCTGCTTGTGGTCCCTGTCTCGCTGTCTCTCTCTCTGTCAAATAAATAAAATCTTAAAAATAAATAAATAAATAAATAAAATCTTTTAAAAATAAAATAAAGAAATAGCTAAATAAGCTTAATTGCAGTTATCTTTATTAACCTTTGTCATCATCTAATTGGATTAATGGTTATCCTCCCTTAATGAAGTATTTAAAATAAAAAGAAGTGGCTTCTTTAGACTTTTAGCATCTGATAGTTGAATAAAATAGTAAAATCATGTATAAAAAGGACCTTGTGTTGCTTTACTTCATTCATTGAGCAGATATTTTCTCAATACCTTCCATGGGACAGGTACTCCGGATTCTAAGATGACTCATTTCACATTAATGGTTATGATTTGTTGGGCTTTATTAGGTGCCGGGCACATTGCGAAGTGCTTTATCTCTTTAAATCGTCATGTCCAGCCCAGCAAGTAGGAAATACCTTTGTTTCACAGGTACAGAAACTGAGGGTTAGCAAGGCTAAGTAAATTGCCTGCAGGAACATTCTGTGAGGTTCGTAGAGCCCAGGCTGTCTCACTGCAAAGCCTGTGGCCTCGAGCGCTGCGCTTTTAGCCTTTTGTGGTCCTTGTGGTCCAGGACGTCAGAAGCCAGTAGAAGAATCAGTGCTGTGACAGCCCCGGGTACCCTGGGCTCGCAGGGCCTGCAGAGAGCAGCCCCAGACTCGAGCCCGAAAGGCGAGAGCCCCGGCAGGACTCGTCACTTCCATCTCATCCTTTTGGGACGGATTAGACCGCCTAGAGGAGGATCCCTTCCTTCTGTAGGACTCCTCTTTTTCCCAGGGGTTCATGATAAAACTTGTAGAGGTAAAATAACCATGGTTAAGAAATAAAATGAAAAAAGAGCAAGGATCAACAGAGGGATAGATTCGGGCCTCAGCTATTTCCATTAAAAGGCTAAAATCTGTTCTTAATGGCAGACGAGAACAACCTGAGTCCAAACGGCAGCGAGGAGTCAGTGGGAAGAATTTTGTGCTTTTTGTAGATTGAATTAAAGTAACCTTGATGGGGTCACGACTGCTGTTCTCTCGGGAACTGCCTGGTTCTCACTCCAGAGCTGTGCAGGGCCGATGGTACGCATGGTGGTTTTCCCCGGAAACACAAGACTATCTGGGTGGTGCCGTATATAACGTTGTAAGAAGTAAGGAATCCATTTTGCTAGGTCTTAATTTGCTGCAAAAAGCATTTAACTTAAAAAAAAAAAAAACCAAAAACCAACCAGGATTTGTGTAGAAATACCACCACCTTGTGGCCCTTGAATATCTTTAATTTTTTATCTGCTGCTTTTTTTTGTAAAGACCTGATGCTTTGTCTTCGGTAGAATGGAGCAAACTGAGCAGCTCTGGGGCGTTGTGTTCAGACTCCTGCGCTGACGCCCCAGACCCTGGGCTCTCATTGGCTCGGCACCACCAACGTGGCTATGGGTGTCGCAGAGGTTCTTTTTTTTTTTTTTTTTTTTAAGATTTTTATTTATTTATTTGTCAGAGAGAGAGAGAGCACAAGTAGGGGGAGCAGCAGAGGGAGAGGGAGAAGCAGGTTTCCCGCAGAGCAGGGAGCCCGATGCGGGACTCGATCCCAGATCATGACTTGAGCCGAAGGCAGACCCTTAACCCACTGAGCCACCCAGGTGTCCCAGGTGTCGTAGATGTTCTGTTTCGTTCTTGTTGTTGCTACGTTTCTGAGATGGTTTGGGGTGGACATGGGGTGACGGTCCATCATGTTGGGGTACTGTGTCAGCATGTTGCTTTTAACATTTAAACAATTCTTTTGCTCATAGAAATTATACCCATTTAAGTTCTATAACGACTTTCATTCCCTACTCTGCAGGAAGCCTGCTTCTCCCTCTCCCTGCCGCTCCCCCTACTTGTGTTCCCTCTCTCGTTGTGTCTCTCTCTGTCAAATAAATAAATAAAATCTTAAAAAAAAAAAAAAAAAGTTCTATAACAACTTTCTAACTGGTATTTTCACCGCTAAATCTTGACTCTTCATCTTTCTTAGTCCAAAAGATTTGTCCTCCCTAATAAAATGTTTAACCCCAGCTAATCAGAAAGCGTGGCTGAAGGGCACCAGGCTGGCTCATTCGGGAGAGTGTGTGACTCTTAATCTCGGGGTCGTGGGTTATAGCCCCACATTGGGTTGTAAGGATGACTTAAAATAGATAAATAATATAAAAAGAAAAAGCATGGCTGATTCTCAGCTACCGTCAAGGTAGGTCTCAGAGACTCGGCATGAGAATCAAGGCCATTGTGCTGACTTCACCTGCCTTTCTAGTTCTTCAAAAACTCTGTTTCCTAGCCATACAGTGCTGCCATCTTCTCCTTTCTACATGAGGCCTGTATCCTTCAGCTCAGTTTTGAGGGGGTTCTCCAGGTAGCATTTTCTCAGCCTTGTCTCCTGAAATCCTACACCCCAACCACTCAGTTCCGGGTTCCCGTGTGCAGTTTACTGAGCTGCCAGTCGAGCAGTTTCTCTCACTTAGCCGGAGGCTCCCTCATTCCCCGTCCTTAATCAGAGAGTCTTATTCCAGGGCACAGCCAGCAAGAAAAGGGTTGCGGGCGTGTCATGATATCTGTCAAATACCTGCACAGACCCCGTGAGGACAGAGGTGGCTGTGATGGCCGTCTGGCTGCCGTCCACGGCCGTGGGCCAGAGCGCAGGAGGACGGGGCCCGCTCCAGGCTGCCGGTGGCCGTGCCCGGCCCCTGAACCTTCTCTAGCAGATGGCTTTGCTTCCGCGTGGGACAGAGTTCGGCCAGAGCCAGGCAGGCTGCAGCAGATTCAGAGGATGGACAACGTGATTGGACTTAGGGAATTGTAAAAATAAGGGTTCCTTGGACATGACACTACACTGTGTATTAGTGACAGTTTCCCTGTTGTAGATGGGGCTTAAAACCTCAGTTTTGTAGCAGGCATAAAAAGCTTGCTAATTGCAGGGCTGCCTGGGTGGCTCAGTCAGTTAAGCGTCTGCCTTCGGCTCAGGTCGTGATCCCAGGGTCCTGGGATCGAGTCCCACATCAGGCTGCCTGCTCAGCGGGGAGCCTGCTTCTGCCTCTGACCCTCTGCTCGTCATGCTCTCTGTCAAATAAATAAATCTTTATTTTTTTTTTTAAGATTTTATTTATTTATTCATGAGAGACAGAGAGAGAGAGAGAGAGAGAAGCAGAGGGAGAAGCAGGCTCCCAAGGAGCAGGGAGCCCGATGTGGGACTCGATCCCAGGACTCTGGGATCACGACCTGAGCCGAAGGCAGACGCTTAACCGTCTGAGCCACCCAGGCGCCCAAATCTTTATTTTTTTTTTTAACACTGTATTTATTTGAGAGCAAGCACAAGCAGGGAGGAGGGACAGAGGGAGAGGGAGAAACAGAATCCCCACCGAGCAGGGAACCCCATGCAGGGCTTCCCAGGACCCTAAGATCATGACCTGAGCCAAAGGCAGATGCTCAGCCAACTGAGCCACCCAGCCGTCCCTAAATAAATCTTTTAAAAAAAAAAGCCTGCTAATTCCAAAACATGAAAATGATTTCTTTTATAGTTGGACCCTGGACGTTTTTTGCACGGGGAGCCCCAGGCCCCCCAAAGCCTTGCTGCTCACCTGGATAACCAGGTTCCAGATGAGAGGCCCAGAGCCACTTCCTGCACCAGTGAGGATGACCCGGTGAGTTGCTAGTGTGTATGTAGACGTTTTTGTAGGCCTTATAATTTGTGTTGCTCTCATTTTACATATCAGGAAAACCGAAACCCAGAGACGCGAAGCAGATCTGCCTGTAGTCAGACATTGCACCCAAGACAGCGTTCTGGAGCCCACATCAGCCTCCTCGCTGTCCGAGGCTATGGAAACAAAAACCTCAGGCCAGTCCACACCGGATTTAACCCCTGCCACTGAAGGCCACTCGTGCCCAGGATTTCGTCGGGCACAAAGCGGGTCAATTCCTTAGAAGTTACGTGTGGTAGTTATTGATCTTACTGTAGGGTGGGTTGACAGACTTTTCTCCTTACAGACCAGACAGTCAATATTTTAGGTTTAGGAGCCAAAGTGGTCTCTGTCACAGCTACTTAGCTCTGCCATAAACAAGTGGGTGGGGCTTTAAAAAATAATAATTACTACATAAATAATTATAACTAAAATAATAAATAAATATATAAGACAAATAAAAGCTTATTTACAAAAATGGGTAGCCAGCTGTCGTCAACCAGCCCTTAAAGAAGTCAACTTGCCCAGGATCGCGTGGCTGGGCAGCTAGAGAACCCAGTTCTCCTGTTGGCCAGTCTGGTGCTATTTTCCACCTTTCTAGGCGGGTTCTCTAGTGTGTGGAGGGGAACGAACCTGATTTCGTGAGAACAGCCTTGAAAGTGAGGTTTGTCAGCAGAAGCCAGGGTTCTGGTTAGCATCCGGTGTTGCATTTTCTCCTTCCCCAGCCTCTCCCCCATGACAGTAGTCGTGTGGTCTGGGCATAAACGTGAAGGGAGCCGGTCACCTCCCTCTCCCTTCTTGCACCTGCTCCACCTCCACCTGCACTGTGCACACGGAAGGGAGGCCGGAACTCAGTACCCAGGACACCAGCTCCAGGGGGAGTGGGGGGTCGTGATGTCTCTGGCGCTCACCTACTTCAGAAGCATAAACTAAATCGAATGAGGGAAGTCACTGAAGTGTCTTTCAGTTTTCCTTGAAATCCTAGTCCCTTTTTGGCCAGTTCCTCTGGGGTTTCTATGGAAACAGTGGTGTGCAGATGATCTTGTCACATGACCGGAGCATCTCCATACACAGCGCAGAAGAATCCAGATGGCAGGAATTGTCTGTTACCTCCACATGCAGGTTTACGTTGCCGAGCAACTGGCTTCGTCCTGGAGCCAACAGCCGCTTTATAGACACACTGTGGATTTGAGGACAACCACCAGCATTTTTTGTCTAAGATAAGAAATGAAAGACATCTTTTCTAGCCCGGAGAGATCCCAGTCAGTCCTTAATTCGGTCCCGCCGGCCCTTCCCACTTTGTAAAGTGCCTGTCCTTTTGTGGCCCCGTTGTAGCTGTCGGCATTTTTGTTTCCCAGGCCGGGCCCGGGGAGCAGCATGAGGGCCGACACTACCGCATTCCCCTCCAGGACCTCAGGACGGTCTTCCCCCACGGCCTGCCTCCTCGCTTCGGCATGCAGGTGCTCAAAACCGGCCGGGATCCGAGGGAGCTCGGGACACCCGCCGTTGCGGGCAGAGGGTGGGATTAAACGAGTACGAAACTATAACAGAGGAAATTTGAATCTAAAACAGATGAACTTGGCTATTGATTATCTTTGTAAATAGTGCTGTTCCTATAATTACTTTAAGTCTGTGTATTTGTGGCTCACCATTGAAGGCACAATAATCGTAGATAAATAGTATCCTGCTATTTTCCTTGTTCCCCACCTGACAGATTTCTAGAACCTATGGCATTCAAATAATTGTTTATAATGAATTTAATATTTGCCTTAGCATAATACCGTGAAAATAATTAGCATGCTGTAGAAAAAACAAAATCATGATCTATTCCTGAGCCAAATAGAAGTGATATTTGGACTTAGATGCATTATTGTTCTTCATTCTCATGGGTTTTCAGAAAATGTAGTTTTGTGGCTGTAACTTCAACCCAAACCTCTAATCTTGGGTTGCTTTATAGCCATTGGAAGAATTCAGGATCAACTGCAAGCATGGTTGTTGGCATAATTGGTTCTCTTGACTCACTCCCGCTGAATTCCTGTCAGCCTCAGAGATGGTTCCTTCTCACTGAAATAGCAAACTGGTCTGTGCAGGTGATTTTTAGCTTCAGAGCCAGAGGATCGCACTCCTTCCGTGTCCTTTATTTCAAGAGATTACATGAGACACCAGTAAGGGAGCTAATTCTAGACTTGTCATCAGAACTGTTAAATTGGGGTGGGGGTACTTAAATTTGGAAATGGGATGCAACCAGAAGAAATCACGTGTAATGGTGCTTAGACCCCTGGCAGATGCAGCGCGGCTTCTGGCTTCTGCACTGTAACCATGTCCGGTTGCTTTCAGACTGGCCTGACCACCGGGCTTCGGAGGGTATTACTCATACATTCTTTCCATTTACGTGAAGGCCAACTCCCTCCCCATTGTTTGTGTATTTTAGCACTGTCATATTGCCTAATATGGCATTTCTGTTTTAATATCTGTATCATGTTTTTGAAGGTTTCACTTTCCATTAAGTTTGAACTTGCCTGTCAAGTCCTTCTCCAATCCAGTTGTGTGGTTAGGATTTCTTTAAAAATTCCAACACTATCGGGGCGCCTGGCTGGCTCAGTCAGTTGAGACTCCGACTCTTGGTTTCGGCTCAGGTCATGATCTCAGGCTCGTGGGATCGAGCCCCAGTTCGGGTTCTGTGCTCAGCAGGGAGTCCGCTTGGGTTTCCCCCCCCCCTCCCACCCCCAGTCCCCCGCTTGTGCTTTTGCGCTCTGTCAAATAAATCGTTAAAAAAGAAAATACCAACACTATTTTAATCCTTATCTACTTGTGAATAGTACTTGTTAGGTATTTGTTCTCATTAAAAGACATCATTAAATCCTTTATCTGCAAATTACTGTCACACGTATCAGTGCTTCCCAGATTTTTCCACCAAAGTATTCCTGGTGACAAAAAGGGATTGAACCTTGTGTGTCAGTTCTCTGGCGTCCAGTGTGGCCCCCGGGCTGTGGGGTCCCCGGTCACACCTGCTTCTGAGCTGCCATGTATGTGTTTCTAGAGAAAAGTCCAGATACTTAGAAGAATGAGCTAAAAATAGATTTAAAAGAATTAACATTTATTCAGTACTTACTATGTATCAGATACTTAGTTAAACATTTTACATTCTTTTAAGATGGTAATCCTAAGTGGTTTACTAGCTATGTGACAAGATGGCTATCGATTATTTGTAGATTTCAGTTTACTGATGTAATATATCTCGGCTTCATTAACAGAAATCATCAGAAGGTGCCTATTGTGTTACTGGGTGTTTTAGCTGAATTCTGTGGATAGATTTTCCAGCTCAGTACCAGCCCAGCCTCTCCTGAGTGCGCAGTTGGGCGCTCTGGTCGCCGTATTAGGCTCAGTGCCCCACGCCCCACCCCGCCCTCCTTCCTTTTTTTGTCAGGTGAGGACATTCAACGAAGCTTGCCTGATGGTGAGGAAGCCAGCCCTAGAGCTTCTGCGTTACCTGAAAAACACCAATTTTGCTCACCCAGCTGTGCGGTATGTTCTCTGTATCCTTTGCTGCCTGCTGGAGCCGTCCTGACCAATGAGGGAAAGAGGAGGGGGGAAGGGGCCATTTGCTGATAGGCCAGGTGACCCTTTCGGCGATGTTTTCTTTAACCACAGGTGCTTTAGATGGGGAGACAGGGACAGGAAAAACCCTCAGTCTTTGCCATGTTATTCATTTCTGTGCAAAACAGGACTGGCTGATTCTGCACATTCCAGATGGTAAGAAGGCCCTCTCCTCACTGTTGCGGCCCGGGCATCGGGCTATGGCCCGGGAACAGCTGGGCGGAGCTCGCCCATCCTGACTTCACAGTAGTCACAAGCCCGTTGCATGTGATGTCAGCAAGTGCAACAAGAGAAGTGCAGCGGAAACCTTCCGAGAGCCTTTTGATAATAAGAATGAAGTATTTGGGGGGCGCCCGGGTGGCTCCGGCGGTTGAGCGGCCGACTCTTGGTCTTGGCTCTGGTCCTGATCTCAGGGTCGTGGGGTCGGACCCGTGTTGGGCCCCGCACTCAGCCAGGGCTCTGCGTGAGATGCGCTCTCTGTCCCTCCCTCCCACACTTGCCCCTGCGTGTGTGCTCACGTGCTCGCGCTCTCCAATAAACCTTTAAAAAGAAAAGAAGTGTTTTGGCCCAGCAGTCCTCACTTGGAGGAAACCCCCAGAGCTTGAACTCCCACCTTAGAGGGTAGCACAGGCTTTACTCCCATCAGTCAGCAGTTTTGAGTCCCTAGGAGGCCTTTGACGTGGCGCTGTTTATCAGCATTCTAGACTTGTCAGCATGGATCTGACACACTTAAAGCCTTATACTGCGCACGTAGCCCTCCCCGTTGTGTTCAGTGTCATGGGCATCCACCTTTTCTGACTCTCTTTAAAAACTGCCAGGAAGGGGCGCCTGGGTGGCTCAGTCGTCAAGCGTCTGCCTTCGGCTCAGGTCATGATCCTGGAGTCCCGGGATCGAGTCCCGCATCGGGCTCCCTGCTCGGCGGGAGGCCTGCTTCTCCCTCTCCCACTCCCCCTGCTTGTGTTTCTGCTCTCGCTCTCTCTCTCTCTGTCAAATGAATAAATAAAATCTTAAAAAAAAAAAAAAAAAATACATAATTGACTCTTGAACAATTTAAACTGTGCCTGTCCTCTTCCATGCAGAGGTCTTTCAGTGAACAGTGTGCCGTAAATGTATTTTCTCATCCTTACGATCTTCGGAGTCACATCGTCTTTCCTCTAGCTTGCTCTGCGATAAGAATACAGTGTGGTGTACATAGAGCTTATCGACTTTGCTATCAGTAAGGCTTCTGGTCAGCAATAGGCTATTAGGAGTTCAGTTTGGGGGGGACAAAAGTCATATGCAGATTTCCAAGTGCAGGGTCGGGGGTCGGGGTCCCTCGCCCCTTGTCGCTCAGGAGTCAGTTTGTGGGAAGTGAACATCGGGGTCGGGGTCCCACGCCCCTTGTCGGTCAGGAGTCCGTTGTCTGTGGGAAGCGAACGTCAGGGTCGGGGTCCCTCGTCCCTTGTCGCTCAGGAGTCCGTTGTCTGTGGGAAGCGAACGTCAGGGTCGGGGTCCCTCGTCCCTTGTCGCTCAGGAGTCAGTTGTCTGTGGGAAGCGAACATCGGGGTCGGGGTCCTACGCCCCTTGTCACTCAGGAGTCAGTTGTCTGTGGGAAGCGAACGTCAGGGTCGGGGTCCCACGCCCCTTGTCGCTCGGGAGTCAGTTGTCTGTGGGAAGTGATCGTCAGGGTCGGGGTCCCTTGCCCCTTGTTGCTCACGAGTCATTTATCTGTGGGAAACGAACATCGGGGTCGGGTCCCTCGTCCCTTGTCGCTCAGGAGTCAGTTGTCTGTGGGAAACGAACGTCGGGGTCGGAGTCCCTCGCCCCTTGTCGCTCGGGAGTCCGTTGTCTGTCGGGGTCTCTCGCCCTTTTCGCTCAGGAGTCAGTTTGTGGGAAGCAAACATCGTTTCCCATAACCTAAAGAGGCCCAGAGTGTTCTGAGTTGAATACCGCCAGTTCCCGCCTGGTTTCCTTCCTGGTTTGTTTTTTTTTAGCTCATCTTTGGGTGAAGAACTGCCGGGGTCTCCTGCCGTCGGCCCACAACAAGCTGCGCTTCGACCAACCTGTAGAGGCTTCGAGCTGGCTGAAGGACTTCCAAACGGCGAATGAGCGTTTCTTGAGTCAGGTGACTAGACTCGCAGAAGTTTGATGCTGGACAGTCCTGAAGTAGACTTCATCTTTGTGCCTTGAGCACGGTAGACTGTGGAAAGCTAATATTGTCGCTGGGGTCGCTAGGCCATTGTGTGTTTCTCTCCTGTGTCTTACGCACAGTGCGTCACGACCTGGAACTCACTCCTCTGTGCCAACTAAAGCCGCGAAGGAAGCCGTCCCCAAAGCAGTGAGGGGCTTCCCAGCAGCAAAGTCCAGTCACGTGGACCCACTGACTTGCCCCAAGATACAGCCTCAGATCCTCTAAAGCACATTTCCAGCCATAGAATTTTCTCCAGATAAGGTCTTTCATGCAATCAGAAATGTAAGGGTAAAGTTACTCTTTGCTTTGGTGATTCTTGGATATAGTCTCCAGGCCAGGAGTTTTTAACTCTGGATATAAATCAGTCACCTGGGAGCTTAAACCTGTGGATGCCAAGGCCTCATCCCGGACCTTTCTAGTCAGAATGCATCACTGGTTTTGTTCTTACGCCGTAGGCAGAAAAGGGCTAGAAAGCATTCACTTCTCTACTGGAGTCTCTCACGTGGCTTGAAAAACAGATTAAAACTGACTCCTAACAACCTTATCCTCCTACCTTCTCAGCTAGGGATGGGTTCATCTTTAGTCTAAATACCTTTCTCTGGTTTTTATTTTTGTTTTTAGATAAAAGTTCAGGAGAAGTACGTCTGGAATAAGCGAGAAAGCACTGAGAAAGGCCGTCCTCTGGGAGAAGTGGTTGAACAGGTATAAAGAAGACGCGGGATGGGTACTGTGTCGTTCCAGAGGAGGCGTCCTCTGGGCCCGCAAGCCCCTGCCTCTCTTCCCTGCAGGGCCTGACGCGGGTGAAGAATGCCACGGACGCCGTTGGGATCGTCCTCAAAGAGCTCAAGCGTCAGAGCGGTTCGGGGGCATTCCGCCTCCTGGTGGCGGTGGATGGCGTCAATGCTCTCTGGGGAAGGACCACGCTGAGGAGAGAAGATAAGAGCCTGGTAGGAAACTCGGACCTCTGGTGCCGCCTGCGTGTGGGCTGGGACGTGGCCCCTTAGCCCGTGCAGATTTTCTTGCCTTAGGAGCGTGTGAATGAAGATGTAGCATAAAAATGGGACCTGGGGGAGAGGGGGCTGTGGGGGCCCCCCGTCCACTGAAAACGCAAGGCGGGTATTTGGAAAAGAACCCCCGCAGCAGAAGCTGTGTGTTGTCCGTTTTTCTTGCCGCTCTATTTTCGGAAGGAGGCTAGGTGACGGGTTTCTGCAGTGTGGTGGCCGGAGCACCTGGCCTCGGGACACAAGAGACCCGCGGTGTCGGGAGGGGGGTGTGCTCTCCCTCAGTGACTGGTTTTCATCCGAAACGGGCTGGGGGGGGCGCAGTGGGGGCCGCGGCTGGCAGCCCTCCCCTCTCAGAGGCTGCTCGAGTTGTGGCCAGTCGTTTGTGCAGGGGAGCGTCCAGGCGCAGCCCGGCCTGACCTCTGTCCCTCCCCGGCGCTGGCGGCGCGCAGGTGGCCCCCGAGGAGCTGGCACTCGTGCACGGCTTGAGGAAGATGGTGAGAAACGACTGGGTGAGTGTGCGGGATGCCCACTACTCGTCAGTCTGAGTTTAGGGACAGAAGGTTCTTCGTTTCCAGTCTCTGGGGGGCTCAGTCGTTAAGCGTCTGCCTTCGGCTCGGGTCACAATCCCGGGGTCCTGGGATCGAGCCCCACATCGGGCTCCCTGCTCGGCGGGAAGCCTGCTTCTCCCTCTCCCACTCCCCCTGCTTGCGTTCCCTCTCTCGCTGTGTCTCTCTCGTCAAATAAATCTTTAAAAATAAATAAAGTCTTATGTATTTGGCTTCTGATCTTCCCACTGGATTGGGAAGTAGCCATTGTATTTAAGTATTGGCACAATTTTACTTGGCAGTTCAGAGTGTTTTTGTATCTTATCAACTTTGGAAAAGATTCTTATCAATGTGAGATCATGTAGCAGTTTGTGGTCAGAGCCGAATCCAGGACTAATAACCTATTTCGTTGCCATCTACCTGGACTGAAAATCTACAGATGACTAAAATGCATTTTTCTCGGTTGCCCGCCTTTTCCTCATTTGGCCTTTTGTCCTCTCTTTCAGCACGGAGGCGCCATTGTGTTGACACTGAGCCAGACTGGGTCCCTCTTTAAACCGCGGAAGGCCTATCTGCCCCAGGAGCTGCTGGGAAAGGTCCGATCATCAGAAAATCTGGTTCCCCTTAGATGGTCATTCTGTCTGAAGAGGTTTTTTTGTTACTTGTTTTTTTTTAAGACATAATTATAGACTTGGAGAAAAATCGTATTCCTGTATGATTTCATCCAGATTCCTAAAGTGTTAACGATTTTCTATATTGGCTTTATTCTTTTCCATCTACTTTTTTCCCTGAATTATGTGACAATTACCTGAGACATGCTGCCTGCTTCTAAATAATGTGTATTTCCTAAAATCGAAGACATTCTAAATATATAACCACAGCAGAATTATCAAAATCAGGGAGCTGGCATCGAATAGAATTCTGGGAACTTATCTTGAGAACGGGCTGTGATCTTCCCAGGTCTCCTAGTGTCCTTCACAGAAACAGTCCTGGATCACACGTCCCATTTGATTGTCCTGGTTCTTCGGTCCCTTCACTCTGGGACAGCACCTCGGTCTTTGTCGCTTACAACCTTTTGAAGAGTACGTGCCAGTCGTGCGTGGTTTTGTGGGTCATCCAGTGACTTCTCCAGATGGTGTGTCTCCTAGCAGCCGCCACAGTGAAGTCTGAACACTTGGTTCAGGTGCCGTCCATCTGCCATGTCCTCGGTAAAGTCACTGTGGAGGCTCACGCTGAGGCTGCGTAACTATCCTTTTACTCCTCACATGCCCCTTACTGGTCGGAGCGTCCATCTGTGATTCTTCCCTAAACCTGGCTGTGATACTTGCAGAATGGGTATTTTCCAGCTCCCTCACTTCTGCGTGTATGTCGGTTGGCATTGTTACATGTGAGAACGTTCCTGCCCCTTACAGTTAACTTGTTTCATTGTGGACACGCAGACTCCTCTTTCATGAGTTCTAAACCTTTACTATCGATCTCTGTTTTGGTGCTGAAATTATTCCAGATTTGGCCAGCAGACGCCCCTGCGAACTGGCTTCTGTGTCCTCTTCACACGCCCCCATCATTCTTTTTTTTAAAATCTTTTATTTATCTATTTGACAGATAGCACAAGTAGGCAGAGTGGCAGGCAGAGGGAGAGGGAGAAGCAGGCTCTCCGCTGAGCAGGGAGATGCGGGGCTCGATCCCAGGACCCCGGGATCATGACCTGAGCCGAAGGCAGACGCTTAACCGACTGAGCCACCCAGGAGCCCCAACTTTATTTTTTTTTTAAAGATTTTATTTATTTATTTGACAGAGACACAGCGAGAGAGGGAACACGAGCAGGGGGAGTGGGAGAGGGAGAAGCAGGCTTCCCGCTGAGCAGGGAGCCCGATGCGGGGCTCGATCCCAGGACCCCGGGATCATGACCCGAGCTGAAGGCAGCTGCTTAACCAACTGAACCACCCAGGTGCCCCCGCCCCCATCATGGTTGAGCCCCTGCTCTCTTATTGGCAAGGAATACAGATGTTCCCCACTCATCTTGTACTTTCCATGCCCCAGGCCTAGAATCAGCCACTCCGCAGGCAGCCCTGGTTCACTGTGGAGGAAAGTGGTATGTGGATACCAAGTCCTGGGGCGGAGGGGGGTCCCTGGCCGGCTCAGTCGGTGGAGCGTGCGACTCTTGATCTCAAGGTCATGAGGTCAAACTCCACCTTGGGTGTGGAGCCTACTTTTATTTTATGTACTTATTTATTTGAAGATTTTATTTATGTAATTGACAGAGCATGCACAAGTGTTGGGGGGGCGGGCATCAGGCAGAGGGAGAAGCAGACTCCCTGCTGAGCAGGGAGCCCAGTGGGGGACTTGATCCCAGGACTCTGGGATCATGACCTGAGCCGAAGGCAGACACTTAACCAACTGAGCCACCCAGGCGTCCCTGGAGCTCACTTTTAAACAAAATGTTTAAAATATGCTCCCTTCGTCCAGAGGTGGAACCGAATTCCCCACCTCTTGAGCATGGGCTGGATTTTAGATTCCAGGTCCCGAGTGCTCGGTATGCTCACTGCTGCTGGGCTGTCACTTCCTGCAGGCCCCCAGCGCAGGCTGAACACAGATGCAGTACTCACGCCTGCATGCACACACGTACATGTGCTGCGTGCACGTGTCTGCACATCCACACCCACGCACATCTCTGCGTTTCCCAATTCCTGTGAAAAACCCGTGAGTGCAGACTGATCCCGGCCAGCAGTGCGGCCTCACCTCCGCCCCCCTTCCCGTGTGCGGGAGCCTTCTCTCCAGCGGGACGAACGCCGTCTGAGCCCACAGGGCGAGTGGGTCCCCAGCCGCTAGCCCCAGGCTCATGCAAACGACGCTGCAGACGAGAGCTCAGTATTTGCGTGGCGCCGTTTTTGTCTTTCTCGGCAGCGTCTTCCGTCCAGGTGCTCTGTTCAGAAGTGAACTCAGGTCCCTTGCCCCTTCAGTATTGTGTTTGAAAATTGAAATACGGTCTGGTGGATTCTTTTGTTTCATTGTATGTTCCATTTAGTGGGTCTTTGTGGCCACCCTTGTTCATTTTGTTTCTGTTTTTGAGTTTATGAGCCGTCAAAGTGGTTGTTGACTGTTGAAGTCAGAACTGTGAGAATCAGAATCGCACCTGTGTCTGCACACAGACAGGTGGCGCCCCCAGCGGGCATTACGTGTCGCACGAGGACAGCCCGGTGTTGCGCGCGGGCACGGCAGGCTGGCCAGAGCGCGAGGAGCAGCGGGGAAGGAAAGTGTTTAATAAGTCAGGCCACTCTCTCTGCTGACTCGTCACTTAAGGGATCTTCTTCCTTCTCCAGGAAGGATTCGATGCCTTGGATCCCTTTATCCCCATCCTGGTCTCCAACTACAGCCCAGAGGAGTTTGAAAGCTGTGTTCAGTATTACCTGGAGAACAGCTGGCTTCAGCATGAGAAAGGTCGGTCACAGAACTTTCCGTCCGGGCTTTGTGTTCAGTCTCACCGAGTCAGAGCCTTATCTCCTCCTGCGGCACAGCCCGCACTGTCTCTCTTTCTCCCTTTGTCTTGGCTTCTCTCTGGCCCATGAGGCGGTAGGAAAGGTGGGGGGGCGGGGGTGGTTACAGGACAGCGCATCTCTTCCCAAATTCTCACGGCGGATGAGATGCTCGTGCTGGAAGCCCAGCCCCGTGCACGTGAGAGGCCAGCCCCTCGCTCGGCTGTCCCGGTCGCAGACACGAGCGCCTTGGGCCATGCGCTGCCGCCTCGCCCCCCGCCCCCGGCGCCGGCGAGCAGAGGAGAGGCCGAGGTGGTTCTGTCGCTGGGCGAGAGCGAGCTAGCTGCCGTTGGAGGGGGTCGTTCGAAGACCAGAGGGAGGAGTAGAAAGCAGCCTTAGCACGTGGTGGGCCGGGGGGAGGCACAGTGCAGAGATTTCGGAGGGGGTTGGCATTTGACAGTCCGAGAGTCCGGAAGATGTTCTTGGAACAGAGTGAGAGACAGATGCTAGATTACAGAGGAAGAGAGACAGAAAAAAGCATCGTTTGCTGGGAGAACGGATCTAGAAGTGCGGTCTCTCGGCAGTGGGCATGACATTCCAGCACCATCTGGAGCACGCAGCCCCTGAGCACAGAATTTTCTGGGCAGCACGATGCTGCAGACAGAGCTGCGAGCTGTGTGCGTCTCCCCCCCGCTTTAGCTCAGACAGAAGAAGGGAAGAAGGAGCTGCTGTTCCTGAGTAACGCAAACCCCGGGCAGCTGGAGCGGCTCTGCGCCTACCTTTAAGCCGCGGTCACGGCCCGCCTGGAAGACTGGGGACATTTCCTGTCCTGGACCCAGTCAGACGGGATGTGGCCAGGACGAGTCAGCTCCCAGCCTTCGGTCAAGACTGACGGTAGTGGCCTGAGATGTCCTCTTGTTCCTGAAACTAGCTTATTAGGTGGGGTTTTCATGTTTTAAGTAATTATGGATCTTTCCCTTAAATAAATTATCTTTCTTAAAGTGTTGTGTTAGATTTATAAAATGGAAAGAGCCTTCAGTTGGCCAAATTGAATTTCTCCAGCATTCTCCTTGCGAGGGGTCTGAAGAGACCAGATTCTGCAGAAATTTCCACTAGTTCTGTTTCTAGACTTGATTCAGGTCAGGAGATCGAATTTGCCCCTGAAGTTCTCCCTCCCACGCCGGTCCGCTGGCTCCCACGGTCGCCTCTGCAGGGGCCCGAGTACTACGGACGGATGGAGGGAGCCCCTCCTTCATGCACGTGTGCATGCCAGCTTGGGGAGATTTGAGAAAATAGTGACTCCAATCAGTTTCCGTGGCGTTGAATTCCCTGTCCTACCCCCGTTGTAGCGCTCGAGGCCGAGTCTGCGCCCCAGCTGCCACTTACCAGCCGTCTTGGGGCCCCGCAGTCCCCGGCCTGCCCTGTGTCACCTGATCGAACTTTTGGGCCGTTTGTGAGCACTGAATCACAGTGGGTGTAAAGTGCCTCACACATGGGCGGTACTCCTTCAGTGGTCGGCCGCTACCATTTTGGACTTGATTTTATAGCGCGTTATCTGAAAACTGGCCACGAGGGACATGGTCTGTGGACGTGCATCGGCGTTTTCGCTGCCGAGGGAGCGTCCCCCATGCTCAAAACGCCTCAAGGCTCCCTCTCAGAACCCGACCTTCGCCCTGACCCAGTCCTCAATCAGGTCAGCTGGCCTAGGGTCCAGATCCCCACCCTACAGCGCCTGCTCCATCAGCCCCCAGCTTCGGGAGGCTGGAGGCCTGTTCCAAGCCCTGACATGCCCCGACCATGGACGGTCAGGCCTTCAGCTCTGTCTTCACAAGAGTCAAAGCCCGTTGTCCTCTCCATCCTCGTGGACTGCTGTCACACCCGTCACCTCCTGTTTGAGCTCCTACACGTGTTTGCCAGTCTGCTCTCTACCCACACCCCTGCCTCCCCGTCTCGCTGCCGTTGGAGGGGGTCAGCCCCCTACACAGGGCCACTGACCTGAGCTGTCCTGCAACTGGATCGTTGGGCGGCTTCCATACGCCTTTATTCCTACTGTTTAGCCATGTTCAAACCATAAAGAACCATGTATCATGGAAATCAGCCTCCTTTCTCACCTTTTCTAGAAGCAACTTCTGTTACCGAATTCTGGAGATAAAAGTACACACATAAATTGGTTTTTTTTAAACACTAGAGCGTGCTCTTCTGTACTTCGGTGTTTCCACGTAGCTTGGAAATTTTCCCTGTCAGGAGTGTGTCTTGTAAGTTGAGTGCCCTCGCACTCATTTCATTTGAAAAGGGAAGGAATGAAGTGGTGCCCACAACCTCTGGGAAGGGCCGCATCCGCTCTACACTCGGATGCCGGGACCGTGTCTGAGGGGGCACCTGAACTCCACTGCAGAGGAGGCCAGGACAGTGGCTTCCATCTCTGGGCGGCGAAAGTCAGGATCAGTAGGCCTCATTTTCGCCAATGAATGTGGAACAGGAAGTTGTAGGGCTAGACCGTCAGAGATGTACAAAGATCCCACTGATGAATTAGCATCATTACTTCTGTAATTCACTAAATGTCATCTGTAATCTACTCTGTCCAGTCCCCTTTCTTAAGATCCTTCTACAGACCTGACCCTCATGCCCTGATTGCTACTGTCTCCCTGCTGCACCTGCCCCACAGCTGGTCTTTTGGGGCTTCTCTTACTCAACTGCATGGAATCCAGATTGGAAAGTAAAAAACCCAGGGACGCCTGGTGGTTCATTCGGTCAAGCGTCTGCGTTCGGCTCAGGTCATGATCTCAGGGTCCTGGGATCGAGCCCTGCGTTGGGCTCCTTGCTCAGTGGGCAGCCTGCTTCTCCCCTCCCTCTGCCCTTCCCCTGCTTGTGCTCTCTCTGTCAAAGAAATAAATAAAACCTTAAAAAAAAAAAAGGAAAGTACAAAGTCCAACTGTCATTATTTTCAGATGACATAATTCTCTATAGAGAAAACCTTAAGTCTCAAAAGATCTCCCACAACTAAAAATGTTTGGCAAGGTCACAAGAACTCAAGATGAATATACAAAAGGCAACTATATTTCTAACGAGATACGCAAAATGGAAATTAGGAAAGTAATTCTATTCAAAATAGCAGGAATGTAAAGTACTTAGCAGTTTTAGCAGAAAAAATGCAAAATTACACACCAAAAACTATAAAACATTACTGAGGGAAATTAAAGAGGATCTAAATACATGGAAAGAGAATCTATGTTCCATCAGTAGTGTTTTTTTTTTTTTTTTAAAGATTTTATTTATTTATTCATTAGAGACAGAGAGAGAGAGGCAGAGGGAGAAGCAGGCCTCCCGCGGAGCAGGGAGCCCGATGCGGGACTCGATCCCAGGACCCCAGGACCATGACCCGAGCCAAAGGCAGACGCCTAACGGCTGAGCTACCCAGGCGCCCCTTCACCTGCTATTATTATTTTTAAAGATTTTATTTATTTATTTGACAGAGAGACACAGCGAGAGAGGGAACGCAAGCAGGGGGAGTGGGAGAGGGAGAAGCAGGCTTCCCGCCGAGCAGGGAGCCCGATGCGGGGCTCGATCCCAGGACCCTGAGATCATGACCTGAGCCGAAGGCAGACACTTAACCATCTGAGCCACCCCGGCGCCCTGTTCATCAGTAGTGTTAAGATGTTAATTCTCCCCAGACTGATCTAACAGATACAATGCAATCAGTATCAAAATTTCAGCCGACTCCTTTGCAAAAATTGGCAACTGACCCTACAGTTTATACAGAAACAAACACGGGCGCCTGGGTGGCTCAGTTGGTTAAGCGACTGCCTTCGGCTCAGGTCATGATCCTGGAGTCCCTGGATCGAGTCCCACATCGGGCTCCCTCCTTGGCAGGGAGTCTGCTTCATCCTCTGACCCTATCCCCTCTCATGTGTTCTCTCTCTCTCATTCTCTCTCTCTCAAATAAATAAATAAAATCTTTAAAAAAAAAAAAAAAGAAACACAACCTAGAATAATCCAAATGATTTTTTTTTTTTTTTTTTTTTATTTGACAGAAACACAGCAAGACAGGGAACACAAGTAGGAGAGAGGGAGAAGCAGGCTTCCCGCTGAGCAGGGAGCCCGATGCGGGGCTCGGTCCCAGGACCCCGGGATCATGACCTGGGCCGAAGGCAGACACTTAACGACTGAGCCACCCGGGCGCCCCCCAAATGATTTTTTAAAAAGGCAAACTGGGAGGACTTACTCCTCCTTTTTTCAAAACATCACAGAAAGCTACAGTAATCAAGACAGTGTAGTATGGGCAATAAGGAGAGCGGTTCGGTCAATGGAACACATTGAGAATCCAGATAAAAACCTTTTATTTATGGTCGGCTGATTTTCAGTCAAGATGTCAAGACAATTTATTGGGGGAAAAAATAATCCTCAACAAATCATGCTGGGATAGTTGGTAATAATGGACATGCAAAAAGATGAATTTGGGCCATTGCTTCACATCAGACACTCAAAAGGTAGCACAGAGCCAAATATATGAAGTAAACTAAAACATTTAAAATCACAAAAGGGGGTGCCTGGGTGGCTCAGTTGGTTAAGCGACCGACTCTCGGTTTCGGGGAAGGAGGGGAGTGGCTGGATGATGGACACTGGGGAGGGTATGTGTTGTGGTGAGCGCTGTGAATTGTGTTAAGACTGATGAATCACAGACCTGTACCCCTGAAACAAATAATACATTACATGTTAATATTTTAAAAAATAAAGTAGTATGCCTTAATAACATAACCTCAGAAAATAAAAACTGACAAAATAGACAGAAAAATAAACCGTGGTGGGAGAATATACTTCAGTAACCGATAGATGAAAGTCAATTAGAACATATAATCTAGTAGCATAATAAACAAATTTGTCTTAATGAAAGTATTTTTTTAATTAACCCAAACACTTCTGAATATACATTCCTTTTAAGCACACCTATACCTGTTCAAAAGTTGACTATCACTAGGTCATATCAACAAATTTCAAAGAACTTAAATCATACGAATGGTATTCTCTGACCCCAGTGCAATTTAAGCTAAAACTGAATACCAAATACATGCACAGAAAATTCCTTATGTTTGGAAATTAAGAAATACTCTTCTGAGAAAAAAATCAGAATGGAAATGAAAGTAAATCAAACTAAATGACCGTTGAAGTACTAAACTCAAAACTTAAAAATTTAGTTCTTTGAAAATATTATTAAAATTGGGGGCGCCTGAGTGGCTCAGTCAGTTAAGTGTCTGCCTTCAGCTCAGGTCATGATCTCAGGGTCCTGGGATCTAGAGCAGGGAGCCTGCTTCTCCCTCTCCCTCTGCCCCTCCCCCTGACTCGTGCACACATACCCTCTCTTTCAAATAAATATAAAATCTATTAAAAATGCTATTAAAATTAATTTTTAAAAGCATCTGGTGAGAATATTCAAGAAAAAAGTGAAAGTGACTTTTTACCTTTGAAATAAGCAACATCAGAAATGATAAAGGGTTAACACTACAGATCTTTAAAACATTAAAAAAGATTAAATAGGCGCCTGGGTGGCGCAGTAGTTGAATATCCGACCCTTGATTTTGGCTCAGGTCATGAGCTCAGGGTCATGAGATCAACCTGCCCCCACCCCAGGTGGGCTACACACTGAGTGGGAGTCTGCTTGAGATTCTCTCTCTCCCTCTGCCCCTCCCCCAATTATGCACACCCACCCTCTTAAAAAAAAAAAGATTAAATGGGCATATTATGAACAATTTGATGGAAATAACTGAACTTGAACATGAAAGAGACAAATTCCTAGAATGATACAACTTATCGAAAGTGGCTCAAGATAGAACTATTACAGAATTCATAGTCGAAAACTTTCTTATAAAGAATGCCAGGCCCTTATGACTTCATCAGTAAATTCTACCAAACACTTAAAGAAGAAATAATGCCAATCTCATACAAACTCTAGGGGAAAACTGAAAAAGGAAAGATACTTCCCAACTTGTTTTTTGAGGCCAATATT